AGATCATATTACAAATAGACAAAAGGACAATGGAAATTCTATATTTTACCTGCAACTCCTCTGTGGTCCACTGATCTACATGTTCAGGTACTGGCTGTAGTTTAAGGCTAAGGCTGTATGATGGAGTGCTATGCACCAGCAGTTGACAACACAGAGTCTCAATCTTGCACTGTATACTCCCAGGTTCAAAGCCTCCAACTGGTTTTATCTTGCAGTAGGAAATCAGTTTTATTAGAGTAAAGCACAATAACACAGGAAAGAAACCTTTCTTTAGTTTAAAAAGGTCATTAGACCATCAACAGTGCCCTAAATGGTGCTAAACCCAACTCTGCATGCTTGGCCAGGGGGTACCCAAATGTACCTTTATGTACCATGGAATTAGAGGCTGTTCTCTGTTCTGACTGTTATAAAATGGAATTCAATGATTTCAACAGCATTAGTTCTCAAATAAAAGCCTTCTAAAGTTGGGCTAAACCCTCATGTACAAATACTTTTAGTGAAAAACAATTGCCAACTTGTCTAGAATGAAAAACAAAGAAAGATACTTGAAATTAACCCCAACCCAGTTGCTAGTGCACTGTTTTATTTCCTGGCTGCATTGGTTTAAATGAAAATGTCACATCAGTTAAATTCCCACTTAATAACTGGACAGGAAACAATAAATGAAAATAATATTTACCACTTCACAACTTTTGCATAGCTGCTGGAAGTGCCTTTTTATGTAAGTCAGGCCAAGGAACTGTTCCACTACACACTGTAAGCTGGTATCACTTCCTTCATCCACCTGCGGCAAAAAATTACCTTTTATCATTAAAGCAATAAAGTTGCAATTTCATAAAACAATCTCATATCTGCTTCTCCATCTTAACATTTAAAAGTTACTTTTTAAAAATAAATATTTATTGCATCACTTAAAAAAAATTACTTTCCAACCACCTGTTCAAACTTTAGCACCTGTACTGAAATCAACAAACCTGAACAGGGGAGCAGAGAGTGTGAAATGCATCATGGGTAAGAACAGTAGGCACTGCAGCAGCATATGGCTTGTTAGGCAACACACGTGAGGTATAGGATGCACCTCCAGCTAAAAAGGAAGTAAATTACATTTTATTATTCAGTTATTGAAAGCTGCTAATGCTTATTTATAAAACAATTTTTGAGAGTATTAAAAGTACCATGATATGGAATAGCTAATTACAGCTGAGTGAGGCAGATTATGGATTATAGTCCTAATAACATTCATAATTACCCTAATAATTTTAAAAATATATTAATCAAAAATAATAGTTTTATATTAAGAAACTTCATTAGTTTAGAACTAGTATTACATCCACAAAATTTCATGGCTTTCTATTAATGCTTTCCAGTAGATTGAAAATAACCTATTTGACTGTACTAAAGAGATCAATTTGATGCTTTCCTGCAGAATACCAAGGCTGTACCTATGAAATAATGCATCAAAAACTGATTCCAAATTGCCAGCTAGAAATTAATGGTCTTGCAATGCCTACATACATTGAGGCTTAGACTGAGACACTGATTCTATCTTACCAATGTTTACTTTATTGTCCTGAAAAGTTTGTGTTCTAGAAGTTTTTATTCTTTCCACTTACAGTAGCAAACTACTTTCAGTAAATAACAATACTTCAAAAACAAGAATTGCTGACCTGGGCCCTGCATGAGTGCAGAAGCAGGAGAATGCATAGGTACTGAGTGAGGACCCAATGGAGATGGTGCAAGAAACCCAACAGGTGATGCAACATTGTACTGAGGCGCAGAGGGAGAATTTGCCCCTAAGAATCCTGAACTGGGTGACTGATGAGGCAACATTGCAGGAGAAGGATTCATCCCTGGTAGAGAAGGTGGAGAGGCAAGGGAGAAGCCACTTGTTGCTGGACTTGACACAAATCCTCCATGTCCACTTGTCTGAATAGTGAGGGGGAAAAAAGAAAAGAAAAGAAAAAAAAAAAAAAAAAAAAAAAAAAAAAAAAGAATGAAAGAAAGAAGAAAAAATAAATATTATTAAAAACAAATGTGTTTCATGAATTTATCACAAATATTACCTTGTTCTAACTAACATATTTTACCAATAAATATGAAAACAGCCAAGTTCTGTGAATGAAATAGATGAGAATATCACAAACCTGAGTCATGCCCACCGGGTGAGGGCTGGCTGGCGTGTGTGGGTTGGAAGAGATGGGTGGAGTCATGGGGCCATGACGAGCGGGAGAGGCGGCCTTTGGTGTGGGCCAGGGGTTATCATCCAAGGGTATTGGTGTTGGAGGATTATCATCTTCTGACTGTGATCTTCTTCTGTTAATAGCAGTTTCATCTACATACTTGCTGAGGAATGCCTGCAAAGATAAAATTAACGTGAAATAATTGCCCTTTGAAATTTAGCCACAAGTTAATTATCATTAGGCTGGAAAAATTTACTTAGTATTAGGGAAAATTAACAGAGATGATTTGGCTTAGCATCTAAACAAGAAAGTTTGTTGGTTCACATTAGCTTTAATATAGGCTATGTTAAATATAAACTGTAAATTAAATTGATGATGCTTTATCTACTTATTACCTTTAAGTATAGGTTGTTGTACATTATGCTACATACAATTTCAGGGTATACTCAACAGAGTGGTGTTAGTCATAGTATATGGGTTATGTGGGGGTAAACCTTGTCTGTTGCATAACTGCTACTTACCTTAAGTCCTTGAACTGGGATAAATTCTTCTATCAATTTTGAGGTTTCAAAGCTGCTGAATGCTCCATCTCTTATTGCAACAAGCCCATTAGGAAGCATGTCAACATTTAAACAGTAAATGTTGCGATACACAATACTGACACGTGTTGGTGACTGTGGTAGAACTGTCAAGTTCTTGATGGGTTGCTGTCTCTGTTGGTAAACAATGCAGTGAAAGAATATGCTCTTATATAATTCTTGCCACCCTCAGTATTTTCTGTTTTCTCTCTTTGATTTAAATGACCTAATCATTGCTAATGATGCATCATGAAAAACCATATAATCAATTTCTTTTAAGAAAGTGCAAGATTTCAGTTTACCTTGTCAATAACTCCAAGATGAAGTGTTGGTGAAAGTTTGGATATTGCTAAGAGAGGCTGATATGTATGATGCAATGTTGTAGCCAAGTCCACAAGCCCCATGTGGCCTCGGTGGTTGACTAGGTCCTGCAACTGGTCCTGCATGACTGTGTGAGGGTTTGTAGCCCACACTCCCTCTCCACTCATACCTGAAACAAAACAGGAAACCATAAAGTACTTGCATGAGGCATAAAGTAGTAAAAAGAATAATCCTATGATGACACAAGTGCATGAATATATGGACTGCAGATTTTGTTTAAGCATAGACAGTTCCAGGAATGCTTAGTCAACACAGAATTAATTGATCATCCTGACCTCACCTATTTAGTCCATTCCATTAATTTTTATGAGGGAAAGTTCTTCACCTTTAACATTAATAAAATTATCACAATTTTAATGACGACAATAATAATACCAACAATAGAAATATTAATAATAATAATGATTTAGTGCTATGAATATCGATGATGTTTTTTTTATTATAAACATTATAATTACTATAATGTTAAAAACATAAATAACAGCAATATAAGATAAAGTAAATATTTCGTAAATCAAAGAAGAGAGTAAACGGGCGAGACAGGTAGTACTTGTAATTAGCTCACTGGTGACTTAGTACACGTGTAGCCATCTATGTGTAAAAAAATCAAACAAGTAACTCACAGTGGGCATAGCACGTATGTACACATCATGCCCGTTGGCATTGGGTTGTTAAGATTACAAAGAACTTATTTTATTTAATATCAACAAGAATTACAGCATTTAATATTGTCTGCCACAGATATTCCCTTCCTGATGGGTCACCCATCATCAAGGGGATATGCTAGAGATATATGGACACTAAAAATGAATCCGCGGAGGCTTCGCCAAAGAGCCATGTGATAAGTAAGGCTGTGTAATTCTCAACCATTAAGGTTTTGAAAATATTGTGCTGCCACACTGTAAGTCAACTATTTATAATATTAATAATGTATTGTTCTGAAGTTTGAACATATGTTAATAAAGAAGTTGTGTTTTTTATGTGACAAAAATAAGTGTTCTGATATTTCTATGAAGCTTTATTTTATCTATTTACCCAAATATAAGATTTAATTTACTTTTCATTTGATGAAAATACTGAGTCTTTATTTATTGATCTTATATAAAGTGCTTTAACAATCTCAGGAATTGCCTTAAAGTAGAATAAGGAATAAATATTCATTTGTTTGTTAAATGTTTACCCCAACAAGCGTGGGTAGCAAGACCACAATGTCATGCCCACTGTAATAAGTTTTATATATTATCTTTACACATAGATGGGTCTACAAGTGCTTAGTCACCAAGGAGACAGCTATTAGACAGCTATCTCATCTGCTTACCCTTTTCCTTCATTTGGGGGAAAAGGGGGGAAGAAAAGAAAAGAAAAGAAAAGAAAAGAAAAGAAAAGAAAAGAAAAGAAAAGAAAAGAAAAGAAAAGAAAAGAAAAGAAAAGAAAAGAAAAGAAAAGAAAAGAAAAGAAAAGAAAAGAAAAGAAAAGAAAAGAAAAGAAAAGAAAAGAAAAGAAAAGAAAAGAATGGGGAAATCAGGATTGGTCACTAGGGTCAACTGATAGACTCCTTGCTGCTGAGCACACGTGGAGCCATCTGTATGTAACAAAACTCACTAAAATCTAAAGGGGGCAGTACATAAGCCAACTGACATTGGGTTAAAGGATGATAATCTGCCAATGTCTTCTTTACAATTTTATATTGATATATTCTTGGTGTTCTTTCTCATACTGCGTAACTATTATTTGATATTTATATGTTTTCTACTTAATATTGTATACAGTTCTACATTTACAAATTTAAGGATTGATTTTCTCACAGCTTTTCACCATGCTTGTCTGTGCCTGTGTGTATGCAAGCAAGTTGTTGTCACTA